GGTGTTATTGTAATTTACGGTGGGGACATCTACAGGAAATGGGGGGTAAAAGTCTATATCACAACCATTCCTGCACAATCAAAACCTGTTTCCTTTTTACTTGTGACACATGCAAAAAAAAAGGGGATGAAACTTCATTTGATCGATCACGTCTGCCATTTCAATTTTTGGATATTCCCAATCTAAAACTAAATCTAAGTAAATGCAAAGCTGAATAAAAACAATTAAAGTAGTTGCTGGTTTTAAAAGGCCCGACTGAATATTATACTGCAAAAATTCCATGACATTTAATTGTACAATAAAACACTTGGTCCTGGAGTTTTGTCAAAGTTTTTTTTTTTTAGCAATGTAGTTCTTCTTGATTGATCGTTTTAACTGAGTAGTCCTTATGAAAGGAGGTGCAAAACTCTGTGATTCTGGAATGGAATAATCTGGAGAACTCACATGGCTTCAGGGCCGGTTGAACAATTAACATAAGGAAATCCACCAAAGCAGAAATGATTGTAAGCATTCCCGACGTGTTTATTCTGAATCAGTGAATTTTGCACATGCCTAAAGTTAAGAATCAGGCGACACCAAATGCAATATTCTACCCAGGAAATCAAATGAGTTGCGCAAATCCAGCGTGGTTATATTGTTCAGCCTAGTGTCTCTCAGCTGTGTCCTCTTTAAGATGGGGTATTCTGGGAATTGGAAGTCTACACATCTTAAAGTGGACAAGGCTGGCTTTTAGCCCAAAGGCTGGAACGAAATGGGATTTTCTAAAATAAAATAAAATAAAATCCTATCCTTCTCATGAGCTTAAATGGACTCCGGAGGATGGTAGAGGACAGGAAGGCCTGGAGGAACGTTGTCCATGGGGTCGCGATGGGTCGGACATGACTTCGCAACTAACAACAACAACAACCACAAATCCTTCTCATGAAATAACCTTCCTCTCTTCTGGCAGGGATGAAGGTGAGCTGCGTTTTGGGAAGGAAGGGGAGCCTGGAAAAAATGCAGCACTATTGGGATATAGGCTTTTACCTTGGCGCAAGCATCTTAACTGGCGACTTCGACAAAATCATCCAAGCCTCTGAGAAGCTGTATAAGCTGAATGCTCCTGTGTGGTATGTAGTGGTGACTTTTCATCTTCTGGAAGTGGGGAAAGGGACTCCGGGACTCACTAATACTTTGAAGTAACTAGGAGGAAATTGTCAAAGGGGGTGCGGGGGAGAGAGCAGCCGTCACTCCGAAATCGCTAAGCCTGACCTACTTTCCTTTTCTGAAGCGAGAAAACCTTGCAGTAAACACTTCAGATGCACCACTAAACCATAATGTGCTTGACTTCCGTTTCGTTTATTGTGTTGTGTGATGAACATAATGTTGGTGGCTCATTCAAGACAAAGGTGATTAAAAGAAATTGTGGCATAGTGGAAAGTGTGAAGCAAGCCACTGCATAGCTATTTCAGTTATTCAAGGGGGGAAATGGGTACAATCAGAAGGCAGACTGGGTTCCTGGATGCAATCTGTTACAAGTTACAGAATATAGTTGGAAGGGACCTTGGAGGTCTTCTAGTCCAACCCCCTTGTCAAGCAGGAGGGCCTATACCATTTCAGACAAGGGACTGCCCGGTCTCTTTTTAAAACTTTCCAGTGATGAAGCGCCCACAACTTCTGAAGGCAAAGCTGTTCCACTGGTTAATTTTTCTCACTGTTAGGGAGTTTCTCCTTAATTCTTGGTAGCTTCTCTCCTTGATTAATTTCTATCCATTGCTTCTTGTCCTGTCTTCAGGTGCTTTGGAGAATAGCTTGACCCCCCCTTTTCTTTGTGGGAGCCCCTCAAATACTGGAACATTGGTATCATGTCGCCCCTAGTCCTTCTTTTCTCGAGACGAGCCATATCCACTTCCTGCAACTGTTCTTCATATGTTTTAGTCTCCATGTTATCATGTAGCTCTGGGAATTATTTGTCAACATCTGGAATTGGAATGCATTTTTTTTGAAACTGGAGAACTGGATTAAGGCTAACATTTTCTTGCCTTTACTGCTACATTGTCAAGTTTGCTAAGTTCTTGACATTAACTTCCTATCTGTAGTCTTAGAGCAAAACCGGATCTCTTGAATTCTTATGGCTGGATCCACACAACATAATAAATCACAAATCTATGGTAACCAAACACATGTGCTGGGTCCACATAACTAACATGGCTCAATGTAATAGCCTGGTTTATGCAACACACTTCCAACGTTGATTGAATTTAGAGGTGGTATTCAGCAGGTTCTGACCAGTTCTGGAGAACCGGCAGCAGAAATTTTGAGTAGTTAGGAGAACCGGCAAATACCGCCTCTGATTGGCCCCGCCCCATCTATTCTCTGCCTCCCAAGTCTTGGTGATTGGCTGGGTCTTCTCTGGTTGCCCTGCACAGGAGAACGGAGCTGGAAAGCAGGTTAGTGGGGTTGGGAGGGAATGGAGATTTTGCAGTATCCTTCCCCTGCCACGCCCACCAAGCCACGCCACACCCACAGAACCAGTAGTAAAAAAAATTGAATCCTACATCTGGTTGAATTCCTACAATTCATTTTCGTATGTCCTTTGGTGCAACACTCTCATACAGTTGGCAGGAACAAATGCATTGATCTGTCTTTTTTGTTCATTTGGGAAATATAATTCTATAGTGATTTCTGGCAAGTGTTTGAAAAAGGGTTAAAATAATAAATCCACAGTTTGGTACAAAACCATTTTTTTCCCCCACCTTGGAAGTGTTGCTGGTGCTTTGGACTTGAAACCTTAATTTTGGTGCATGGGAGTGATAGTTTGAAGGGTGAACCTGCTCTATTGTTCTGGGTGTACGCAAATAAGACAAATAAATAAATGTCTGTGTTAGCCCTTTTCTCTACTCCTTGTCTCACCTTTTCTCTATAATTGTGCCAGGTACTTGACTTCCATCAAGGAGACTTACACAATGTACAATCACTTCAACACCGTCTCTGACACGTGGTCACCCAAGCAAGAGCTGGTTGATTTCTGGCTGGGGTTTGTAATGGAGTCCTGCCAGCCCTTTGTCTCCACGGAGAGCTGTTTGGTAAGGAAAGCTGCAAGTCCTGCTTGTTGGAAGCAATGCCATTCTTCAACTTAAGATTATCCTCCTGAGACAGATGGGAAAGCTACTGAGCTGGATCACATTTGAATATGAGCAAATTGTCAACTCATAAAACATTCCTATGCCTGTTTTAGTAGTTGCCATAAAAAAGGGGGGGGGAAATAAAGGAAATCTGGAAGAATAGTTGAAAGCGAAAGTACATTCCAACTGTTATCTTTAAAGATTGTAACTAAACTACCAGAGTTTTTGCCTGTGAATATATTTAATTGGAGAACGTGATTGATGACACCCAGCCCTGTGAACGTGCTCAGTTGGAGAATCTGATTTATGACACACCCAGGGGGGAGGGGGAAAACAGGGTCAAAGGTGACTGTAAATTACGTGTGCTAGAGTTGGCTTCATACAGGGCAGTGCCAGTATGTCACCTCTAATGAATCCTTTGAAGTTTGGCTTGAGAATCATGATTTAATTAGAGCGATTGCTGGAAAGCTGACAAAAATCTTAATTTGGGCTTTCTGGTCTCAACCATGAACCAGCATTTGCCTTTTTTTTTAATTTTTATGTTTTGCCTTTTTTTTTAAACCTCTCTCAGTTTTGCCCTTGCAAAAACAAACACGCGATGGGGTGGCAGTTGGAGCCATCGTGCCAAACATCTACGTGTTTGCAAACTAGTGTGCAAAAAATGAAATAAATAAAATGCAGTTAGTTCTGGACTTACAACAGTTCATTTAGTGACTGTTCTAAGTTGCAAAGGCACTGAAAAAAGTGAGCAACGGCCGTTTTTCACACTTATGATTGTTGCTCCTTGTGGTCAGGTAACCAAAATTCAGGCAGTTGGTGGCTGATTCATATTTACGACAGTTGCAATGTCCCGAGGGTCATATGATCCACTTTTGCGACCTTCTGGCAAGCAAAGTCCATGGGGAAGCCAGATTCACACAACAACCGTGTTGTTGCTCACTTAACAACTGCAGTGATTTACTTAACAACTGCTGCAAGAAAGGTCGTAAAATGGGACAAAATTCACTTAACATTAAGTTGTTACCTGTTAAGTTGTTACCTGTTTAAGTTGTTAACTGTTCACTTAGCAGTTGGGCTCAATTGTGGTTATAAGTCAAGGACTACCTGTATAAAAGGCAATTGCCGATGAAAATGCCACGAACGTTATGTGTGGAAAATGCCTACATTCATTCAGTGAGAGATTTCTGCTTGCTGAAAACAATGTGAGTAGCAGGCAGTTCTTGCACAACCTTCCTTTCAAGTTCCGTTTTAACTAGAAGTACCTTGGATTCAGGCAGGGGCATTTTTGGGCCGATGATGCAAAGCTTTACCCAGCTTGACTTCAGAGATTTGGAAATTTCCCCTTCCTTTGTTATTTCCTGTTCCTTCTGTCAAACTGAAGCAAATTGAGGGCAAGCTTTCCAGAACGGATGCCTGCCGAGTGTAAGAACACGAGGGGATGCTCTCTTCTCTCCGAAGTTTCTTTTTGCGTTGGTTCTTAGTACTCTCCTTAAAGGTCAGGGTTGATGAAGCCATGGGCCCTCTGCATGATGTTAGAGTCCAACACGCATCATCCCTGAACACTGGCCCTGTTGGCTGGGGCTGATGGTAGTTGGAGTTTAACAACATCTGGAGGGTCACAGCTTTGTTATTGCTGAAATAAGCTATAGTTCCAGGTAACTGCCTCTTGTTACGATTTGTCTCTCTTTCTCTTCCCTGTCTGTTTTTCTCTCCTTTCTGTTGTCCCAGCTTACGTTGTAGAAACCCCGACTGAACGTTCCTTTGGGTCAGGGACCTCTGCCTTGCTCTTCCTCTCCCTTTGCTTCTGCATGTAGCAATAGTCCAAGTCACTCTCCTTCCTTGCAACGCATTGCTTGTCAGTTTTTCTTTTCTTCATGGTCCCCTTCTTTTTGTCACTTGCAAAAATGGGGGCTGTAACTGCTCTGGGGAAGGGTCACCCCCCCCCTTTTCTTTCAGAATACCTTAAAATATCATGCACGGAGGTAGCCTTATAGAGGCAGTGATTCTCAAGTCAACCCTCACCCCAATTGTATCACCAGTTCAACCCTCACCCCAATT